ATACTTTTTTCTTGTTCGTGAAAATTAAAGTACAATATATTTAGAGTAAAGGCATCATTTCAAGTCAGAACTTATAAAACTTTGAATTGAATGATTGCTAAAGAAACAAATTTGAATCTTTGAATGAGTGTATGCAACAGAACTGCTTGGTTGTCTGAAGAATCACTCACTCAAATTAGAAGCAAAATGTCATTTTTTTTTCTAAAAACACTCCAATTTTTTTATTGCTCCGTAAAATTTTATTTGCATTACAAGAACTGCAAGAAATAATTTACATTATATTTCTTTTCGTAAAGTTACATTAGAATTGATGTCAGACGCCACTGGTGTCAGACGCAATTGGTGTCAATGACGTCTGCTAATTTGCATTTCACGTCAACAAATGATTTTAATTTGTTTTAAGCTTAGCACATCGTAAAAATGCTTTTGCAAGAGCTAACTTAATGACACTTGACGATAATTGTTCTCATTTTCATTTTCATATCAATACAATCAATCTGAAAGACAGCAAAATTTTTAGTAGTACTCCAACTTTACTTCACTAACGTTGCAATATGGCTAATACTTATTCAGTTTATACTAAAATTTATTTAACTAAGCTAGTCCACTTGTTTTATTCTTTACTAAAAAATATTTATTAAATCACTAAAATTTACGATAAACAGTATAATTAGTAACAAAGATTGAGGACAGTAAAATGCACAAAACATCTTAGTATGAGATCACATAAATAATATTAATAATGTTATACTTAATAGGAGTAACATATTTGCACTAACTCATAGAATTTTTAAATATTCATTCTTTTCATCAGTTTCTTTTTGACTAATGTTATGATTATATGAAGTATTCAAACGATCATACCGTGATTAAAATTGAATTTGATCTGATATTAAAATCACTTAAAAAAGCTCCAACTTACTAGCAACAATAACACAATGAACAGCATAAAAACAACTATTGAACCTTCTAACTGAGTAATTGAACAATTATTTTAATTTAATATTTAGTAGTCAGAATCTTAGATTAACCACTTGGTTTTCTACGCGCTGCATTACGACAGTAGCAGCAGACGATGATAAGTGTAGAAATACAAACAACTACACTAACAGTGCAGAGAGATAGCTTCGAGACCATGTTCAATGTAGTGCCTGAATAGCAAGCAAATTAATACACGATATTAGCAATTGGATATGCTAAAAAACAGTTCATCGCTAAGTAAGACTATTTCCAGGCAGGTTCCATCGTTAGAATTAACTCGAAGACTTTTATAATTATTTGTGCTGAATACGAATTTTAAACTTAGTCTTAATGATAGTTTCACCAATCAAAGTCTAGCTTAGTTAGAAAAAAATTTAGCTTTCTTTTGTGATCTTATTATTATTCTTTTTAACTTCATGCAAACTAATTTATGCAAAAAGTTGTCTTCTCTGTGAAACAATTATTAAACTTACTCATCTGATTTTTCACAAACGGCACAGTCTTAAAATTATTTAAATATTAAATTAATTGTTTATAAACAGCAAAAAATACTCTAAATAAAATAATATTTTATTAAGTTAAATTTGTCAAATATTTTCAACCAACTCATCAACCTTTGCATTTTGAAAATTTTCAATTATGTTTTTTCTTCAAATCTGATTTTGAATTGAATACAGAAACTAGCTATACTGAATAAATTATTAAGACTAATATTAAATAGAAGTTTTTAAATTGTTTACTTTTGGAATTCAAATTCCGAATTATAAAATCACAGCAAATACCTTTAGATTTTGATTGCAAACAGTTTTGTTGCGAAGATGTTTTATATTTTAACTAAATTTTTGAAAGATATTCTTTTAAATTTCTGAAGCATAAAACTAATATTTTTGAGTACAAATAACGAAGCTAAATGCTAAGTTAATAGATCACTTATTTTTTAATTTGTTTTCCTTCTACACAGTGCTGACTTTAAAATTGACCATTGTTTTTCTTAATGCAAAAAAATATTGTTTACGCTTAACACTAATCACTGCTCTATAAATGTATATTATTTTACTAAACAGTCGTAAATTATTTAGCAATGTTCACTCTTAAGCATTTAAGATATTTAGAAGAATTAGCTTAAATATTCAAATGATATTTTGACACTTTTTTGAATTTCGAAAAGCTGTCAGCAATGCCTTTTATTCATTCAAATGCTAAAATTCATTTAAGCAAACTCTTCGATATTACTAACTATACTCAGATTGATAAAAAGTATAGCATTTTCCTCAGAAAAATGAATTACAAGATAGAAAAACACAATGAAACTAAATTCATGCAATAAATTTAAGTGAGTTTTCAGCGTAAAATTTCATTAAGTAAAAATGCAAAAAAAAAATTGAATGAATCTATCTTTTTCTTCCTCAATTACTAGCATTTCTTTTTAAATTGTTGAAATAATAATAATGTTATACATTTGATTATAAAAGATCAGTCTGCTGAAATTAGTATTGAAATGTCAAAGTTGAATATATTCTAATATCTAATAAAAATGATAAGTCAGTATATGTTTACCAAATCCAATTTTAATTTTTTAGGAAAATATAATAACTTTACGCAAAAAGTTACGTGAAAAATATTTATCTTGAAGTGAACAATCGAAAATAATTGATTGTTATAAGTATTATACTTATTTATTACAGCATTGTAATCCTAGAATAATGACAGATTATGAAAAAGTTTTACAAACAAAGTACAGTTAGATTTTACAATTTAAATTGCAGTTACTTTTTTTTCAATGTCCAAAGGCTTAGTATTGTTTTGTCATAGGCAAAATCCTATTTATACTTCTGTAAAACTCATAATAATTTGTCAGTGAAGACAGTACTATACATAAGTAAACATTTACTTTATTATTCATTTGTGTTGAACTGGATGCCATCTGATATTACCTAGATTTAATGATATTTTATATCAAACGAGAATAAATCTTATCTCTTAGAAGTTGTTATTTAGATCAAAAAAATTAATCAATTTGATTCTATTTCCATCTGCTTGAATCTATTCAAATCTATTCTGATCTATTTGAATTTATTCGATCTACTTAAATTTATGCAAACAAACATATCAACCTATTTATCAATTTTCCTTCTCTTTAATGCAGCAATAAAAAGCTTGATAAGTGATATACAATCAAAATTTAGGCAGTTCTGATCGGTAAAATTTAATATCTAATTATCGAAGAAAAAGAAAAAACATTCGATAACTTTCAATCGCTATCACACAATATTCGTTCTAATATTGTAAGTTTAAAATTACTGTATATTACATGCAAAAATTCAAGGCAAACGGGCAAACGAAAATACAGTATGTTCTGTTTCACATATGAAAAATTTTCTGCTGGAATGATTTTTTGAAAATTTTCGGTATCTTCTCTTAACAGTATACTTTAGTTATAATTGATTTCACATATGTATATTTTTATTCTACTTTCTTATACAATGTTATTAAATTTTAAAATTAACTCAGATATTTTTATATTTACAAAATTTTATTAATTGAAGGAATAATTGTACAGTGAAGTTAAACCAGTCTTTTAATATTAGCCAGAAAGCTTTGCTCGTTTGATTTATTCTATAATTTATAATTGAAAAAATAACATCTGCTTCAAATGTTTACAATTTACATTCGTTTTGCTATCATATTGTTCTACTCGTTAACAAAGTGGTATTACTTATTTAAGTACGAATTTTTTTGCTTAGACTTTGGAATTACTAATTTAGTACTCCCAGCAAATGACCAAATGTTTCATTACTTCTTGTATATTACATTGTATTACACAAGCTTTTGTAGTAATATAGCAGTGCAACTATTTCATTGATACGATAGCTTCTTTTTTTCAAACAACTGTATTCATTTGAATATATTTCCGAAATTTATGACTGCAAGATTTTAAATTCTCCGATTGTCGTTTGTTTTGAAAACAGCTGCGTTTATATTTTTTGTCATTTATAATTGACTAAATTTAATAAATGTTCTAATATTTACAAGTGTGAATAAATCTTATTACTAGTTGGATCACAAAAACCAAGCAAATGTATGTTTTATCCAATAAATTTATAATCGATGATATTATTTAACAAATTTCAAATTATTAAGTGTAATATTAGTTTATAAAACATATACAAAAATATAATTAAAAAGTAGCCAAAAAAAATATTATAACTTTTAATTATCAATAAGTAATATTGAAAATAGCCACAGTTAAGCGAATATGATGTACAAATGCTTGCGTATTGCTGAAAATGATATATTGAAAAGCAGATTATTCCGGTTTTGAAAGCTTTTGTTCAAAACAAAAAATCTTGATTTTCATTCAAATTTTAGCGAAGGAAATAAATAAATGCGATTATTGATTTATGATATGGCATTTATTTTCAGTGTTTTGTATTTAACATAAAAAATATTTGTGAAATTGTTATACTAATACTTTGATTAATTCATTTTGCTAAACAAAAATTTTAAGAAAAAAAATGGAATAAAAATTTTTTTTCAATTAAATTAATGAATAAAAAAATACAAATATTTGAGAGAAAAACTTTTTAGAGTTAATTTCGAAAAGAAAATATTCAAATCTCAAAAAGCTAAAATGAGCAAAAATATAAAATAAGCAAAGCTAATTCTAACTGAATAATTTTTATTCAAACAGAAAAATCATTAATTATTTAGAGAAATAATATGTTCAGAGCAGTGGAACGATTTGAAAATAGAATAATGTTAATTTTCATTTTTATGAACATATTCACTTATTCATTCATTCATTCATTCGTTCATTCATTCATCCATTCATTCATTTATTTCTTTATTCGTATCTCTGAATTGATCCGGTTTGCATGCATTCCATCTCTTTCTACTTCTACTTCTTCATTAACTTGTTCAACTATAAAAGGTTTCTTCAAAGAGCGTCTTGAATTCATTTATCAATACTGCTTTAGTAGAATCACATCAACATTGTGATTACTTCAGAGTAAACGAAAATGAACGATGAGAAGAGTTCACGTCAAAGTTTGAAGCCGATTGCTTTCATATCTGTCGTTTTCAGTACATTTGCTATCTGCTCAGTTTTAGTTGCATTTCCACTGATAATTAATTATGTGCAAACTTTGGAATCATTTGTGCAAATGGATCTTGACTTTTGCCGGGTATGAAAAGTATCATTTTTTGATTAAACTTTTAAAAATTTTTGATTTTGATCGATAATACTTCATAGTTAATATATAAAGATTTTATTTATGCATGTTTACTGTGAATGATGAAAATAATTTAGTTGAATATTGGAAATTAAATTTAGAATGATTGAAAAATT